TTTCCTTCATCAGAAATTAATACCGAGACTGGGCCATTTCTTAGCAGAAGACTCTTTCTTGGCAGGTCTTGCGTTTGGATCGACCAGATTCTGCAGCGATTTGGCTTTGTAGTTCCACGACCGCCCCGCTACTTTCAAAAGCTTGGCCAAACGCTTTTTCTCGTCCTCAAAATCGGGATTCACAGTCCCAAGCTTCTCCTCTCTCAGCTTCAGAACCTGTTCTAATATCTCAATCGCATCCTCTATTCAGCAAATTACATAGCCATCACAAATATGAATGTCTTTAACATTTATGCCAAGTAGTTTTCACTCAAAATCTCTAATCCGGTTTAACCGATTCAAACCGAACCGAAATCAGAAGCCAAAAGCTTGTCCGGTTTTCATTTTTCTATATCCAAACAAACCATAAATGAAATGGAAATGAAAATAAATTGGTTAAAATCTAAAATTATTTGACAACCCTTCAAAATATTTCAAAAAACCAAATCCAAAACAAAACCATTTCAACATAATGAATGTATTTGGTGGTATATATTCGGTTCTCATTTGGTTTCCATATTTCAGAAATTTGTGGTACTGTATATATTCGGTTCTCATTTCGGACTCGGAAAGTTCCTTTTTCATGGGGATTTACCAATCCCAAAAGATGAGTGAGTTAGCCCACTTGAAGTAGAGTTTCCATATTTCAGAAATCTAGTTTTCATGTATATGGAATTGGGTTTTATCCCGGTTTAGGTGAAGATTCTACATTTTACCCCAAACCAGTTGTGATTACGGTTATAGTAAACCAGTAGATCATCAGTATTGTTATGTCAGAGAGTGTTCTTTGAGACATGAGAGCATCTCCTTCCGTTATATACGAAAAGAAAGTCTCTTAGCTATTAATTATCATTATTTAAAATTAATTTATATAAATTACTAATCTACTACATATTGTTTGAGAAGTAACATTATTGAAAATAGCTTATTTGTCAACATTACAATCAAAGTTAGTGCTTTTAATTGATGACATATAAATGTGACATGTCAAACTTCCTAAAATAAACAAAATATTTTAATTGGTTGAATTAAAATTATAGTTGTGGAATTAAAACATAAATAAACTAAATTATAATTATAACACTAAAATTAACAAATTTAAATTAACAGAAAATAAAAATTATTATAATTTTAATTTTTTACATATATTCATAATTTCATAAAATATAATTATGAATTTTTTCAACAATATATATATATATATTATAATTTCAGATAAAACAAAAAAATAATACAAAATGATCCAATAGAATAGTAAAAATTCTATTTTTTAATAATACTTGAAGTATGATATATTTTTATATCGGAAAGTTATTAATTTACAAAATATATTAATAACATCTAAACAAGTTCTAAATAAAAAAAAAATTATTAAATAATATAATTTTAAATAAAATACAATCATGATAAAAATAATTTAAAGAAGAAAATGTTAAAATAATAAAATAATTAACTTTTATTGAAATGGTTTAAAAAAAACATAATTTTAAATAATTTTGTTTTCAAACCGATATTTACTAATTGAATAAAGTATATACTAATTATTATTTTATAATATTAATAGGACATTATATTTTTCTATAACTTTTATCATCTTTTTATTGTTGTTTTCTAAAATATACATAACTTATGTTACCATCTCATCTTATCTCTTATCATATTTTAAATAAAAATAATAGCATATGCATATATAAATTTATTTTCATTGTATATAAAAATTTTGAGATAATAAATGAAATAAAAAAATAACCGAACGAAAAAATAAATTATAATAAGATGAAACAATATGAATCAGAAATAAAAATAAAAGTATATAAAAGTAAATCTCTCGTACTTTGTTTTACAAAATCACTTAAAAAGTTTTTAACACGTAAGAGCCATATTTTAATTTTTTACAAATACACGTACATACATATATATTAATTGTACATTAGTTGAAGTCACATGTGAAATTTTCCGTGCATGTATTTTGTTAAGATTGATTACAATCTAATTTTTATTTTAATTATTATACAATTTATATTTTTAAAAAATCTTTATCTATTCTAAGTGTAGTGAAGTGGTTGGTATGCTCGCACATGCGTACCAATTATCTATCCGCTCTTAGGAATAAGTAAAAATGGTAAAAACTATTTCAGTTTGATTTGCAATAAATCAAGAAAATTATATACTTAAATATATTATATATGTATTTGCAAATTCATATTATGTAAGACGCAAAAAAGCATATCGTAGATTGTGTAAAGAGAAATAAAGCATATTATAGAAATATTATAAAAATTTAATTATTATTTAACATAACTTTTATATTTGTAATTATATATTATTATAAGTATTATAAATATAAAAAGTTTTAAAATACATTGGTTTCAGAAAAAAGTTTGTGAAATATTAAAATAATATATATATATACAAACATACCAATATTTAAAAAACTAATCAACATTTAAATATTACAATTAACTATGTATATCAAAAAAAATTATACCTGCACATATGTGCGGATCAACTTGATTTTAAAATAAAAATTAAACCACTTATAAAATGACAAGTATCATAAAAGTTTAAGATACGTATATACAAGTTGTCTTTAGAGAGACGATTTTAATTTTTTTGCTTACTTTCTTATTCTTTTTTTTTTAGATACCCTATTAAAAACCTGTCGGTGGAAATGGTCTTACCTTCCCATGGCATCGTACGTAGCAGCCAGATTGCTGTAAACGCCGAGAGTTTCCTGATTACACGGTCGGTCCACGATCCATTTGAAAAGCTAAGCGCGTATGATATACCCGCTTCATCGATCTTGAAAAGCTGAACGCAGGCCAGTCCCATTTGGTTCAATACAACCCCGAAGAAGGCAGATTTCTCACCCGCTGCTCGCAGCTTTGTCACAGCGCTCTCAAACGCGTTTCTTGCGTCCTCGTACCTCCCCAACATGTAATACATTAATCCCATTCGTGTCTCTAATCCTACAAGTATTTACACACAGCCAAATATAAAACAAAAGCTTTTGAAGAAAATAACATAAATGTATGTTTGGTTTTTGTCTGTGTATGTATATTATATTATTTGGCGATACGCCGGTTGATGGCGTGATGAAGATTATGAGGTTGGTGGTAATCAAGAGAGCAAGGCTAACAGTAGCAGAGGAGATAACAATCACATGGATGAGACGTATTTGAACAGCAATCAGATTGTTAGCAATTACACCTATGACAAAAAACCCTTCAAAATATTTCAAAAAACCAAATCCAAAACAAAACCATATCAACACAATGAATGTATTTGGTGGTATATATTCGGTTCTCATTTGGTTTCCATATTTCAGAAATATAGTTTTTCATGTATGTAGAGTTGGGTATTTGTGAGAAATAACATAATGTATGTTTGGTTTTTGTCTGTGTATGTATATCATATTATCTGGTGATACGCCGGTTGATGTCGTGATGAATATTATGAGGTTGGTGGTAATCAAGAGAGCAAAGCTAACAGTAGCAGAGGACACATGGATGAGACGCATTTGAACAGCAATCAGATTGTTAGCAATTACACCTATGACGAAGCTGAGGCCTTAAGTGATGCGATCGAAGGAAGTTGGTAGGAACAGAGAGATCTTTCTCAACAAAGAAGACGAGGTTTGATCCAAAGTCCTTGAATTGCGCAATCAGAGTCTTTGTTAATTCCATCAGTGAAAGCTTGTCTCTGACCATCAGAAAGTCTGTTAACGAAACATGGGATTCGCCAAGACTTTGATAGCGTATGGGTTTTTGATCTTTTCATTAAGACACTCTTTTTTCTTCTTTTTTTCTTGACACTTGAGGATTGAGTTGTTTATGGGTTTAATGCAGAGAGTGGAAAGAGCTGGTTGATCAGCACCACAAAGGAAATCACTAGTAATTGTTTGCTCTCTCTCTCTCTCTCTCTCTCTCTCTCTCTCTCTCTCTCTCTCTCTCTCTTTGCGACTCTTCTTGTTGGGAATTGGGATTCACGTCTTACGGTTTTGGTTTCTTGAATTAGATCCATAGTCTTTGATTCTAATTTTCGGTTTAAAACAAGTGCTGCTGAAGGTACACCAGAGTCTGCGAATCCGTCTATTGTCGATGAAGAAGAAGCGCTCCCATCGCTTCCATATGATGTCGACATCTTTACACCGCAGCCAGACGTATTTGAGATGGGAAACTTCTTTGATATAATTGAATTTGATGGGAGTGAGTTAAACTATTCTCTTGTTTGTTTGATATTTACAATGTTTTAGCTTTGGTTCATTAATTTTCCCGTGCGGATTTGGTTTCAGATCCTCGCAACTCTAAGGAATACAACAAAATCCGAGAACACGAGAGAAGACCACAAAATATCGCCAAGAGAAGAGCCGATGGAACACAAACGAGGATACAACTCTAAAGCCATCATCAGCTCTAAAGCAAAATACAGAACACATGATGAAGAACGAAATGATATCTGTTCACAAGTTCGAAAAACACATGATCCAATTCTTCGATCAAATCGCGTATGGATTTCAATATCAGTAGAAATATCATAAAGCTTTTAGTCAAACTCTACCACAAAACAAGAAAAACAGAAAAACAAAAATACTAGATACAATTTGATACCCTAATCAACATCTTATCCCAAAGCCAAGCATACTGTATTATAGTTTTATATGACTCCTATGAACTGTTGTGGACCGTCAGTAACACGTTAAAGCCATTATCTTGCAAGGTTTTTACAGCTCCAGCGAAATCTAAATCTCCAGAGATAATAAGCACATTTCATGACAACCAGTTTGACCGAGACTGCTTCATGATTTGCTGTACTAAAAGACGATCACCCACGTCATACACTCTTTGGAAGGAGTCCTTATCATTATGCCACTGAAGTACTGTTTTACAACCTAGGTATTGGCACTTCCTGTAGCGGTAAGGCACATCGATCTTGCTGAAATGATTCTCCTTTAGATAGGCTCATTTCATCTTGACAAAATCATGACCCTTGTTACAGACTACAAACTTCAGTTCAGTGATATGGTACCTCGGGTCTGCCCTTTTAAGGGAGCCTTCAATGTTGGGTAACAATCTTTCCATCTTTTTAGGATCAACAGTCGTGTTTTCTGCATCCCAGAAAAGAGTGATTGCATAATCTGGATCCAATGCCATTGTTGACAAATCAAAATAAATATCGAAAGAGGAAAGGAGAGATGAAAAAAAACCAAATCAAAGGTGGAAGGGAAGGATGAAACCCTAGATTTTACGGCACGCTTCATATACCTTCTGAATTTAGGTTATAGTAGACGGGATGGACTTTCCATGGGCCAAGCCTTGTTCGGTTTTAATTTGAGCTAAGTGGTCTAACCAGTCGGGCCTTTCGTAAGTGAAAATAGGGATGTCCATTACGCTAAAATCCAAAGTCTGGCCCTACTCGTCCCTGAAAATTAGCAGATTCGGACTTTGATATATTAGCCCCAAAAAATTAGGCATTTCGGGCCAAGCCCATTCAGGCAAATCAAAAGAAAAAAAAATACTAGATACAATCTGATACCATAGTCGACATCCGATCTCAAAGGCAAGCATACTGTACCATATTTTTATATGACTCTCTTGAACTGTTGTGGATTGCTAGTAACACGTTAAAACCATTATCTTGCAAGGTTCTTACAGTTCCAGCGAAATCTGAATCTCCAGAGATAATAAGTACAATTCGTGACAACCAGTTTGACCGAGACTGCTTCATAATTTGCTGCACTAAATGACAATCACCCACGTCGTACGCTCTTTGGAAGGGGTCTTTATTATCCTGCCACTGAAGTACTGTTTTACAACCCAGGTATTGGCACTTCTTGTAGCGATAAGGCACATCGATCTTGATGAAATGATTCTCCTTTAGATATGCCCCTTTCTTCTTGACAAAATCCTATCCATGTTACTGACTACAAACTCTAGTTCAGCGATATGGTCCGCCCTTTTAAAGGAGCCTTCAATATTGTGTAACAATATTTCCATCTTTTCAGGCTCAACAGTGGCGTTTTCCGCATACCTGAAGAGAGTGATTGCATAATCTAGATCTAGTGCCATTGTTGACAAATCAAAAGAAAAATCGAAAGAGGAAAAGAGAGATGAAAAAAAACAAAATCGAAGGTGGAAGGGAGGATGAAACCCTAGATTTTACGGCGTGCTTGACATACCTTCTGAATTTAGGTTACAGTAGACGGACTGGGCTTTCCATGGGCCAAACCTTGTTCTGTTTTAATTTGGACTAAGTGGTCTAACCAGTCGGGTCTTTCGTAAGTGAAAATAGAAATGTTAATTAGGCTTAAATCCGAAGTCTGACCCTACTCGTCCCTGAAAATTAGCAGATTCGGACTTTGATATATTAGCCAAAAATAAATTAGACATTTCAGGCCAAGCCCATTCAGGCAAATCAAAATAAAAACAGAAAAACTATACTAGATACAATTTGATACCCTAGTCGGTATCTGATCCCAAAGCCAAGCATATTGTACCATATATTTATATGACTTTATTGAACTGTTATGGACCGCCAGTAACAGGTGAAAGCAATTATATTGCAAGGTTTTTACAGTTCCAGAGATAATGAGCACATTTTATGACAATCAGTATGACCGAGACTGCTTCATAATTTGCTGCACTAAAAGACGATCACCCACGTCGTACGCTCTTTAGAAGGACTTCTTATCATCATGCAACTGAAGTACTGTTTTATAACCCGGGTATTGGCACTTTCTGTAGCGGTAAGGCACATCGATTTTGATGAAATGATTCTCCTTTAGATAGGCTCCTTTCTTCTTGATAAAATCATGACCCTTGTTACAGACTGAAAACTTCAGGTCAGCGATATGGTACCTCAGGTCCGCCCTTTTAAAGGAGCCTTCAATGTTGTGTAACAATCTTTCCATCTTTTCAGGCTCAACAGTGGCATTTTCCGCATCCTAGAAGAGAGTGATTGCATAATCTGGATCCAATGCCATTGTTGACAAATCAAAAGAGGAAAGGAGAGAATAAAAAATCCAAATCACAGGTGGAAGGGAGGATGAAACCCTACATTTTACGGCGCGCTTCATATACCTTCTCAATTTAGGTTACAGTAGATGGGCTGGGCTTTCCATGGGCCAAGCCATGTTCGGTTTAAATTTGGGCTAAGTGGTTTAACCAGTCGCGCCTTTCGTAAGTGAAAATAGGGATGTCCATTACGCTAAAATCCGAAGTCTGACCCTACTCGTCCCTAAAAATTAGCAGATTCGAACTTTAATATATTAGCCCAAAAAAAATTAGGCATTTCGGGCCAAGCCCATTCAGGCGAATCAAAAGAAAAAAAGAAAAAAAAAATACTGGACACAATCGGATCCCTAGTCGACATCCGATCCCAAAGCCAAGCATAATGTACCATATTTTTATATAACTCTCTTGAACAGTTGTGGACCCCCAGTAACACGTTAAAGCCATTATCTTGCAAGGTTTTTACAATTTTAACGAAATCTGAATCTCCATGAGATAATGAGCAAATTTTGTGAGACCAGTTTGATCGATACTGCTTCATGATTTGCTGCACTAAAAGACACTCACCGACGTTGTACGCTCTTTGGAAAGGATCCTTTTCATCATGCCACTGAAGTACTGTTTTACAACCCGGGTATTGGCACTTCCTGTAGCGGTAAGGCACATCGATCTTGATGAAATGATCTCCTTTAGATAGGCTCCTTTCTTCTTGACAAAACCCTGACCCTTGTTACAGACTAGAAACTTCAGTTCAGAGATATGGTACCTCGGGTCCGCCTTTTTAAGGGAGCCTTCAATGTTGTGTAACAATCTTTCCATCTTTTAGGCTCAACTGTGACGTTTTCTGCATCCCAGAGGAGAATGGGAGAATGATTGCATAATCTGGATCCAGTGCCATTGTTGACAAATCCAAAGAAATATCAAAGAGGAAAGGAGAGATGAAAAAAAACCAAATCAAAGGTGGAAGGGAGGATGAAACCCTAGATTTTATGGTATGCTTCATATACCTTCTGAATTTAGGTTACAATAGATGGTCTAGGCTTTCCATGGGCCAAGCCTTGTTCGGTTTTAATTGGGGCTAAGTGGTCTAACCAGTCGGGCATTTCGTAAGTGAAAATAGAGATGTCAATTAGGCTTAAATCCGAAGTCTGACCCTACTCGTCCAAAACATTAGCAGATTTGGACTTTGACATATGAGCCAAAAAAAATTAGGCATTTCGGGCCAAGCCCATTCAGGCAAATCAAAAGAAAAACAGAAAAAAAAATACAAGATACAATTTGATATCCTAGTCGACATCCGATCCCAAAACCAAGCATAATGTACCATATTTTTATATGACTCTCTTGAACTGTTGTGGACCGCCAGTAACACGTTAAAGCCATTATCTTGCAAGGGTTTTACAATTTCAGCGAAATCTGAATCTCCATGAGATAATGAGCACATTTCGTGACAACAGTTTGACTGATACTGCTTTATGATTTGCTGCACTAAAAGACAACCACCCACGTCGTACGCTCTTTGGAAGGGGTCCTTTTCATCATGCCACTGAAGTACTGTTTTTCAACCCGGGTATTGGTATTTCCTGTAGCGGTAAGGCATTTCGATCTTGATGAAATCTTGACCCTTGATACAGATTACAAACTTCAGTTCAGCGATATAGTACCTCGGGTCCGCCTTTTTAAGGGAGCCTTCAATGCTATGTAACAACCTTTCCATCTTTTTAGGCTCAACAATGGCGTTTTCGCATCCCAAAGGAGAGTGATTGCATAATCTGGATCCAGTGCCATTGTTGAAAAACCAAAAGAAAAATCAAAGAGGAAAGCAGAGATGAAAAAAAAAACCAAATCAAAGGTGGAAGGGAGGATGAAACCATAGATTTTACGGTGCGCTTCATATACCTTCTGAATTTAGGTTACAATAGACGGTCTAGGCTTTCCATGGGCCAAGCTTTGTTCGGTTTTAATTTGGATGGTCTAACCAGTCGAGCCTTTCGCAAGTGAAAATAGGGATGTCAATTAGGCTAAAATCCCAAGTCTGGCCCTACTAGTCCCTGAAATATAGCAAATCCGGATTTTGAAATATTAGCCCAAAAAAAATTAGGCAATTCGGGCCAAGCCCATTCAGGCAAATAAAAAAAACAGAAAAAATACTATATACAATTTGATACCCTAGTCGACATCCGATCCCAAAGCAAAGCATATTGTACCATATTTTTATATGAATCTCTTGAACTGTTTTGGACCGTCAATAACACGTTAAAGAAATTATCTTGCAAGGTTTTTACAGTTCCAGCGAAACCTGAATCTTCAGAGATAATGAGCACATTTCGTGACAACCAATTTGACTGAGACGGCTTTATGATTTGCTGCACTAAAAGACGATCACCCACGTCATACGCTCTTTGGAAGGGATCCTTATCATCATGCCATTGAAGTACTGTTTTACAACCCGGGTATTGGCACTTCATGTAGCGGTAAGGCACATCGAACTTGATGAAATGATTCTCCTTTAGATAGGCTCATTTCTTCTTGACAAAATCATGTCCCTTTTTACAGACTACAAACTTCACTTCAGCGATATGGTTCCTTGGGTCCGCCCTTTTAAGGGAGTCTTCAATATTGTGTAACAATCTTTTCATCTTTTTAGGCTCAACAGTGGCGTTTTCCGCATCTGAGAAGAGAGTGATTGCATAATCTGGATCCAGTGCCATTGTTAACAAATAAAAAAAAAATCAAAAGAGGAAAGGAGAGATGAAAAAACCAAATCAAAGGTGGAAGGGAATATGAATTCCTAGATTTTATGGTGCACCTCATATACCTTCTGAATTCAGGTTACGGTAGACGGTCTGGGCTTTCCATGGGCCAAACCTTGTCGATTTTTATTTGGGCTAAGTGGTAGAATCAGTCGGGCCTTTCGTAAGTGAAAATAGGGATGTCAATTAGGATAAAATCCGAAGTCTGGCCCTATTGTCCCTGAAATATAGCAAATTTGGACTTTGATATATTAGCCTAAAAAATTAGGCATTTCGGGCCAACCCCATTGACGCAAATCAAAAGAAAAAAAAAAAATACTAGATACAATTTGATACCCTAGTCGACATCCGATCCCAAAGCCAAGCATACTGTACCATATTTTTATATGACTCTCTTTAACTGTAGTGGACGACCAGTAACACGTTAATGCCATTATCTTGCAAGGTTTTTACAGTTACAGCGAAATCTGAATATCCAGAGATAATGAGCACATCTCGTGACAACCAGTTTGACCGAGACTGCTTCATGATTTGTTGCATTAAAAGACGATCACCCACGTCGTATGCTCTTTGGAAGGACTCTTTATCATCACGCCGCTGAAGTACTGTTTTACAACCCGACTATTGGCACTTACTGTAGCGGTAAGGCACATCGATCTTGATGAAATGATTCTCCTTTAGATAGGCTCCTTTATTCTTGACAAAATCATGACCCTTGTTACAGACTATAAACTTCTGTTCAGCGATATGGTACCTCAAGTCCACCCTTTTAAGGGAGCCTTCAATGTTGTATAATAATCTTTCCATCTTTTCAGGATCAACCGTGGCATTTTTCGCATCCCAAAGGAGAGTGATTGCATAATCTGGATCCAGTGCCATTGTTGACAAATCAAAAGAAAAATTGAAAGAGGAAAGAAGAGATGAAAAAAATTAAATTAAAGGTGGAAGGGAGGATGAAACCCTAGATTTTCAGTGCGCTTCATATAGCTTCTGAATTTAGGTTACAGTAGACGGGCTGGGATTTTCATGGGCGAAGCCTTGTTCGGTTTTAATTTGGGCTAAGTGGTCTAACCTGTCGGGCCTTTCGTAACTGAAAATAGAGATGTCAATTAGGCTAAAATCCAAAGTCTGGCCCTACTCATTGATAGGGCTCAGGTTTTACCCAAATAAAACTACTGCAAGTGCACAGCAAAAGCAGTTGTAGTACAAGGGGTATCGAATCCCAAGAGAGTAATGCAGACTACACTATCAAATATAGGTTCGGATTAAGCTAAGCAAGATATAATTTATGTAATGCGAATGAATAAATAAAAGTAAGCAAACGATTTTGTAAGATGATCTAAGTTTCAGAAGACTAAAAGCGCTAAGTCAGGACAGTTCGCAGGTTGAATCCAATAATGTAGAATGCATGAAATCAGGAATGATTAAGAACCATTTTAAACATGAATCACTGATGTATAACAAATCAATTCTCATTGCAGAAGTTATCTATGCCTAAATCACAGAGTTTCAAATCTCTTTGCAAATCCTAACAACCTAAGCATGCAGGAATGATCAGATTCAATTGTTTACAAAACTCCTAAGCCAAATCTCTCTGCACGAATTTGTTTTGCTCATCAAATACTAGTTCAGGTTATCAATAATGCTCTCACATATATTTAACAACCTAGAATTTTCGGATTTCTAGATGATGTGTCCAAGAAATTCGATTTTAAAGCAAGCAGAGATGAAAAACCAAAAGATATTCCTAACAGGTAGTGATTCTACAATCTCTTCATCAACCCTTGAAAAAACCCTAACTTAACTAACAAAATACTCAGACATGGTGACTTGAGAAAACATGAAAAGAATAGATTACATAAAAGAAATAAGAAATAGAAAGTAAAGGAGTTCAAAATCTGCTCTGAAGGAGTCTGATTTGTCTCTCCAAAAGATCTTCTACAAATCTCTCTCTAAAGCTCTCTAGAATAATAAGATACAAGATATATGCCAAAAGAATGGCTGAAAACCTAATATACAAGCTAAAACACGATCTGGGGCTTTTTTGCAAATACTAAAACTTCTGGGCTAAAACTGCAAATAATCCTCTATCTTTTAGAAAACAGTCACGACCCCTTCCTTTCTGGGTGACGAGCATCACCAAAGGTGGTGACGAGCGTCACCATATGGCATACTTTTCTTCCCGAGTTGGATACTTCGTGGCTTCAACTTGCAATGCTCCAAAAGGTTCCAATATCTCCGATTATGCTCCAGACATGCTATAACCTGCAAAGACTCTTCTAGGACTCTAAAAAGACTCAATAAAAAGGACTTATATCATGGTTAAAAACCATAAAAACCATGATATATCAACTCCCCCAGACTTAGCTTTTGCTTGCCCTCAAGCAAACATCAAACAGAGAACAGGGTCAAGATTTGAAAACAAGAAACAGTCAGTCAGTCATCATGAACACCACACTAGTTTGAACTTTTGAACCCACATACCACAGAATCAACACAAGATCAAATTTCAGTCTAATCATCACAAGCTTAGCAAATCTCTCAAGTCCAGTCCAAATCCCTTCAAGAAATCCGAAATTTCTACTGCTAACTCCTTATTTTTTTTTTTTTTTAGTGTGAATTTTCATCAAGGCTCTATCATCTCAATCACTTTACAGATTATTTTCCCTTCCTAACAACTGAACAAATAGATCTCAACACAGCTCTGTTATTTTCTCTTTCCTTGATCTTTTTCTTTGGATATTTTCGATTTTTCACTTCTTTTTCTCAACTTTTACAGTCTTAAGATATGGTGCTACCCAATACTTGTGTTCCTTGTGAAGAGACAGGTTCTTGAGTGTGTTCACTACTGTTGTTCCTTGTGAGGAGACAGGGTCATGAATGCACCATTCTTTGGACTTAAACTCTTAATAACTAAATCAGGGAAGATCAAAGAGAGATTATATCTTAACCTTATTGTCAATGCTGAAAGAGAGAATCAAGATCAATAAGAATCAATCACCAAGATAAGAAGTTTAAAGTTCATTAAGGTGGAGCTAACAACAAATTTTCCAGATTCTCTAAGAA